TCTCTATGTCTCTCTCTGTCTGTCTGGCGAGCGCACGCGCCCTACAGTGAACAATAAAAAAAACCCCCCCAAAAAAAAAAAAAAAAAAAGGAAGAAAATTTATGAAAATTCACAACTAACATTAACCTTAACTCTTATGATTCTGTAATTTAAAAAACTCTCATGCCTCCAGAAATAAAATTTACCCTGTTAAGTCTCTTTTTTTTTCTTTTTTTTTTCTTTGAGAGGTTTTCACTATAAGGCATGTGCACTCGCCAGACAGACAGAGAGAGACAGAGAGACAGAAAGCGAGAAATCATCCCCCGGGGGGATGGCCATGCCGCCATCCCTTCTCCTCCATTCTCCTCTTGGGATCATAGGCACACACGCACACGTGCCCGGCATGAGTTTTAAGCCACCGGGTCCAAGATGCGAACCGCGGTCGACTACGTGGGAGTCCAGTGACATAGCCATTACACTAACTGCTGGTCCCCAAATTTACCCTGTTTTAATAAACAGAGCATTCAAATACACATTTCTCCAAAGAAGATACATAAATGGCCACTAGGTGATGAAAAATTCTCTACATCATTAGCAACCAGGGAAACACAAATCAAAACTATGAGATATCACTTCACACTCACAAAGTTGTCAATAATCAACAGGTCAGAAAACATCGAGTGTTGGTGAGCATGTGAAGAGATTGGAATGCTCAGGCACTACTGTTGAGAATGAAAGGGAACAGTCTGGTAGTTCCTCAAATAGTTAAATGTATGAGCCAGCAATTCCACTCTGAGGTATATACATCAGAGAACACACACAATCACAAAAAACTTGCACATAAATGTTCATAACTGCATATTCTCAATAGCAAAAAATAAGAAACAAACTCAATACCCGCCTACCAACTGATGAGTATCCAAAGAAAATATTGTATAGCCATATAAAGAAATATCGTACTAACTCCATAAGCCAGAAGAACCTTAAAAACATGCTGAGTGAAAAAAGCTAGTCATAAAAGACAAGGGAATCTTAAAAAAAAAAAAAAAGTTCCAGCAGGTAGTGTGATGGTTAAGGCGCTGGACACTCCCACATGGCCAACCATGGTTAGAGTCCCGGAGCTGGGGGCTTGCTTTCTCATTTTCCCTCTCTCTCTCTCTCTCTCACTCTCCGTGTGTCTCTCTCTGGTCAAATTAAAATAAAATGAATGAATAAATAAAATAAAATAAATAATTCTTAAAAAAATAGTTTGTGGAAATGTATACTGAGAACAATATACGTAGATTTCCAAATTTGTTGTACCAAAATAAACTTGTATTTCAACTCCATTTTTCCCTAAATGTTTTGAAGTCCCCTTTTATTATTATTTAATTCACATAAAATGTTCAGAATAGGAAACACTATAGAGATAGGATGTAGATTATAGGTTGGCTAAGGGTGGAAAGGAAGGACATGTTGAACAGAGATACAAGTGATACAGGGATTTATTTTAGAGGAATGAAGTGGTGTAAGATTGTAAAGATGAATGCACAACTCTGAATAAAAGCAATCATTGTACTGTGTACTTTAAAAGGGTTAAAGAGAAAAGAAGGCATGCTCAACCTAAGTATGTATATATGTACTTCGGCCTATCTTTCCTGATAATACTGAGAGCTGGAGAGGAAGAAGAGCAATTGCGACACTTGTACAGTGCTAATGAGAATGTAGTCTGGCAAACACCTATTATAAACATCGTAACATATTTAATTCCAGCTATTTAGTCACAGGTCTATGTTCCTGTCAGACCGAAGTCTCGGAAGGAAAGCTCTGAGATTTATTATGTTCCATATCCCTGGAGTCCAGCTCAATGCTCCTTGGTGAGTTGCTGCTAATAAATATGCCAGGAATTAGATTGAGTCAGAGCCATAGTTTCATGCCTAAAACTGACGTCCGGATTCTGTCTGAGCATTAACAAGATTCATGGAGGTTTGGACACAAAGGTTGGGACCACATTCAGCCCTAAATGGTCAGGGGCTCCATGAAGGCACAGCCCACACCAGGAGTTTCTTAAACCACCTAATGAGCAAAATGCCTGCACACGGTAGGCACGCCATGAATACAGGCTGGATCGGCTTGTTTGTGATGAAAGAAGACAAAATGAACCGCTTTTATTATTCTCATTGAATATACTGAGAAATTTTTATATAACAATTCGAATTCAGAAGATAAGATAAATTTGTCCCATAAATACATAGTTGTTCTTTTCAAGCCAGGATAAAACTCTAAGCTCTTTTCCTTTGCCGTTATGCCTCTTCACTAGCCACTCAAACCACCTCACAATGTTTAATCTGTCTCTACTCAACTGATAGCACAAATGATGTTGAATAAGGAGTGGTGCAGTGCCCCTGAACAGAAATGCAAAACAAACAAACAACACTCTACTTACAGTAGCCAAAAGGAGGTCCTGCAGGCCTGTTGATCTGTGGCTCAAACTTGGTCCCAAGGGCCATGTCAGATTTCTTGTTGGAGTCTTGCAAAAGCATCAAAAATACCTTTTTGGAGATAAGAGAGACCTGTATTTATTTGTTTCTTTCTACATTGCATGTTTTTTCTTTTACCTCAATTACCTGACTAGATCATGACCAAACACAGCCAATATTTCACTACAGAATTCTAAGGTCAGCTGGTTCTCAGCAAGCTGGTTCACAGACTGCTCATATGATATGAAGGTGAGTAAGACTTATGTATGAACCTCAGGACTCTCACACGTTGGCAGAGGCTAGCCAAATCCACCGAAAGCAATAGGCAGGTAACAACACAGTCTACGCAATTTGACTCAAGTTTGTGAGTCTCCATGTCAGCATCATAGAAATTCAGAGGTAAACCACACAATAAATTAATATTTGTGGTGCTCACTATTTGTTTAAGGTAGATGGGATCTCCTATGTAAAAAGCCTGATTGACTAAAGGGTGTCCACGGACTCTGACGTACCCCATCACCTAAAACAGCTCATTTAAGTAACTTGCTTGAAGTTGCCATTTTGCCAATACAGAAGTCCAATTTCCATTTGTTTAGATCCAAAGACTAAGTTCTAAAGATCAAGAGTGAAATGAAGAAGCAAAAGTTTGGGGGCCAGCAGGTGGTATGGTAGTTAAGGTGGTGGACTCCCATGTGGCCAACCACAGTTTGATTCCTGGGCCCAGCAACTTGAAACTCACACCAATCGTGTGTGTGTGCATGCCCAAAATCCCAAGAGAAGAATAGAGAAGAAGGAATCACAGTGTGGCCATCCCCCCTGAGGGGAGTGATTTCTCTCTTTCTGACTTTCTATCTCTCTCGCAAGTGCACATTCTATAGCAACAAAAAAAAAAAAAAGGAAAAATTTGACCACAGACAAAAGGAAATTAGATGGACTGAATACCTGAAGGCTTTTGAATTGCACCTGCAGAAGTGACAGGGATTTATGGAGAGACAGAGTGAGAACTCCTAATGTGAGCATCAGGCCCATTGCAAGAAAAGGGATGATATGGCCCATGCATAAAAGCCAAAAGATACTCAGCCCTGCAGCAGCACAACACAGAGGTTCAACGCTGAGGTGCTGAATCCTGCATGCCAACACTACACTCATGGCAACGTACGGGCCAGCTCTGTGCCTGCTGGAGTACGGCTTCACCACCCAGAGTGTTAGCTGCCTAGTCTATAATCCACGGATGATCACAACAGTAGCTAAAGATGATAGCTTTAAAGTGCTTAGGAGACTCCAAAAGATATAGCAACTCTTCCAGGATTTATATGAGTGTCCAAGATTTACTAGATATCCTCTATGGGCCATGAAGCAAGTGACACACTGAGCACTGCCTCTGGCATAATCCATGCATGTCCTTTCATCATTCCCTCCTCTGCACACATCTACAAAGATCCATTCCCTGGAACTGGTCCCTCTCCGAGAGACTTCTGCTGAACTAATCTAATTGCCCGCCCAGCTGGTACCTCACACTCAATGCATCCACACTGAACACCCTGTCTCACTTCTGATTCCTGCAATCATTACCATTCTGATTCCCTTAAATAAGCAGAAAGGCATGCCTGTCTCTAGGTGTTCTGGAGAAGGGGAGGAGGGTGAGAAGACACAGTGAGCAAGCAAGCCTACAGGGAGACACATACACTCTGCATGGGGTTAATTGGTTTGGATGGAATCCTACTGAGCAAAATCTGCTTGCTCAGCACTGGTATAGGGTCAGGACATTTCATTTAGATCAGATGTAGCTGCCTTTGTTTGAAAGATAACCCTTCACTGATTCCTGGTAGGATCCCAAGGAAAAGCAGCAGACCTCACCACTATCACAAATAATAACAATAATAATGATTAATCATAGCATTTCTGATGTATGCCAGCCTTAACCATTCTTTGACTTAGTGTCTTCACATAATAGATCATGATAATAACATGTATTATGGGATTGTTGCAAGTAGGAAATGCATTCATATCTAATGTAATGAGAGCAACATCTGGCATTTAACAACCTGGCAAGGTCCTGGTCCTAGGAGAAGGAGGAGGGCAGGTAGTGGTGTGTGCATGTTACATTGTGTAATTCTCCAGTCAATCCAAAAGATGAGTATGGTTATCCCCACTTAAGATGGGGACACTGACTTTGTACAGTAAATCCTAACCTAGTGTATTTATAAAGAATGAAATTAGAAACAATAGAAGTAATACAAGTCAAATGCTATCCATTAAGCAAAATTTTCTCTAGTATCTTATTCTGAATGGAATTTTCATTTGGGCACATGTAGCTGAATTTTATAAAGCATATCTTGATAAGAAGTATGAAGGTACATTGTGTCTCAGAATTTTGGAATTCCTCAAGCAAAAAGGGAAAGGCAAGTCTAAGACAATGAGAGTGTTATGAGTGCCATCTGCTGTCCATTCACCTTATCTGCAGGCACATCTTCCTGGAGTCTCAGAGAATGAGGAAAAGTCAAAGTAGCCCAATGAACAGAGAAGGCCAATAAAGGTCACATTTTCAAAACCAGTACGACATTAATCACTACAGTCAAAGCTCTGGGCTCTTGATGGCAGAGATAATGTTTGTGATTCGGGCTGTAGTTTTCCTGGCTAGTGGAAACAGACAGCTTCATGAAGCTCTCCTCTGCAGGTGTCTCATGAAGTCCTAACATCCAGAATAGGCCATCATTCTGGACTTTGGGAAAGAAAACATATGAGAAGATTCCTAACATTCCATGGAATCTGGAAAATGGGCATTCCATATTAGAACTTTAATATATTCTTTACTACCTAATACATATTTTCTAGCCAAATTTTAAATCAGTACCCGTTTTTGAAGGCCAAATCTTTACCATTTTCATAAAACATTGAAATGAGAAAACATGTTTTGTTTTATTTGACAATTATGAGAAGATGCAAGATGACACGCCAAAACAAAAATCTCATAGAGAAGAAAGGCCTGATCAACACATATAAATATCCCTTTAAGAGAGATAAAAATAAAGTTCAAGAAACTGCAGAGAAATTTATCTGAATGCACACTAAACATCTAACATCCCAGATATGCTTTCTACAGTTTAAGAAGAATGTTGCGGGTCCAGTGAGTAGAGGGTGGTTAGGGCACTGAACTACCACATGGCCAACCATGGTTCTAGCACCAGACCTGGTGGCTTGCTTTCTTACTATCCCCTTTGACTAATCTCCACCCCATCTCTCTCTGGTGACCACGTGTGTCCTATAGCAAATTAAAACTAACAATAGTAACAAATATTAAATAATTATTTTAAAAAGATGAATATTGTGTTTCTGCTTTGTACAAAATGATATTATTTACACACACATTTTCCCCCTCTTGGTATGGGTGCATATGGTTTTTTTTTAATCACTTCTTATTGAATAAGGCCATAAATTAATTCAGATGGACCATATAGAACTTGTACCTGACCTTGTCTGTATACAAAGGTTAGTACATTGTTTTCAATCTTATCTAATGTTTCAAATTTCACTGGAATTAGCTCAGGCTTTTCAAGTCAAAGGATAATCAAACTGGTCAAACTACTCTTACTGATTTTTAAGTAAACTTATCAAATGAGATGAATAAAAATGAAATAAATGATAAAATTAAATCCCAAGGACACTACCTAGCATAAAAATAATTTATAATTTAACCCCCAAAAATGGCTTTCAATGTAATGCCTATGGCATGTCTTCTCTTTCTTTTCAAGAAACAGTAAATTCAGGGACCAGCCATTAGCGTAATGGCTATGTTGCTGGATTCCCATGTAGTCAACCGCAGTTAGAGTCCTGGACCTGGTGGCTTAAATTCACGCCAGGCATGTGTGTGTGCATGCCCAAGATCCCGAGAAGAGAATGGAGAAGGGAATGCGGCATGGCCATCTCCCCGGAGGGTGATTTCTCGCTTTCTGTCTCTCTGTCTCTCTCTGTCTTTCTGGCAAGTGCACGTGCCCTATAGCAAAAACCTCTCAAAAAAAAAAAAAAAAAAGAAACAGTAAATTTAACAATTGGGGGATTCTTTATTTGGGGGCGGAGATCTGCTTAATTTAAAAGAGCTGCAAGGCCTATGTATTGACGACAACCTGTGTCATCTCAGTACTGACTGCACTATTGATACCTCAGACTGTGATGCCCTGGCCTCGCCACTGTGTTCTCTTTTTAAAAGGGCATTGCCGGGGGATATTGACCGCAGCCCTGATCTGCACTGAAAGTGTCAGTTTGATGGACTGTATCCTAGAGATGGTCACTACAAGGTGCCTTTTTCATTTCAATGCTAGCAAAACGTATGAAGCTGGCCGTATGTCAGTAAGACATGACAGTATAGTTCAGCTAAGTGACAATATTAGCAGGGAAAGAATTTCCAAATTTTGGCCTAAAGGTAACATCTGATATGTTCTTTCAGTTTCCCCACCGTGAAAGCTTTTTGCTTGTTTTGTGGGTTTCTTTTATTCCATTTCTATTTATTTATTTCTTGAGAGAAAAAGAAAGATAGAGAGAGGCACCCTCTTCACACCATGGTCCACACGCAGTCTCAGTCAGCCTGGAAAAAGAACACTCAAGTCTGCTCCTAGCATAGTCAGGGAAGTCTCAGAATGCAAACCCAGGACCTTTTCAATACCAGACTACTTGTGTTGCTGCTATACCACCACCTATCCACCCTTTGTTTTTACTAAGTAGAAGATAAAACTATTACAGAAGGAAAATGAGGGATGCAGGCCAATTCATCTCAAATGCAGGACTCTGGACAGAGCTCTTCCCTGATACGCTGTGAGTGCAAACAGGAAGATTTTATTGCTGTGCAGGAAACAAGCGTATGATTTTTCCACTGCTGCTATTAAAAATTACCACCAGCATGGTGGCTTAATTAAATATTCTCAGATCTTGCAAGTTTGGGGATGAAGTCTAAAATAGGCCTTTCTTAAGTAAACTCAAGGGAGAATATGCTCCCTGGCCTTTTCCAGGCACTTAATGGCCACTTGAACACTCTGCATTATGGCCTCATTGTCCAGCTTCACAGCTCCTCAACCTAG